CATTAAAAAATAAATTTATAAAATCTGTTTGATCAAATTGTGAACTGAAAAAAAAAATTGATCTAAGAAGACTCTCAGATCGGAGTAACAACGAGTATCCTTGCTCGCTCGAAAGTCCGTGTCGCCGCTCGTATGGGCATTTCATCTACTCCAGTAAACACTTTCTCCACGATGCCTCGTTTCCACTCTCGGCGTGGTATGGCCGAATATCAGATGAACACCTCGAAAGCTCGACCACTGCTCACCCTCGATGTTCTTTAGCTCGAAAACCTCGTTGAATCTTGGGCCCTCTCGATTGGGCTCCAACGAAATATTTCCCATCACTTTTTATCTTGACCACCAGTCCTCGTCGGTTCTAGAAGTTCCTAATAGCCTCGATGAAGGAATCATAGCCATCTCCAACTGAATGGCCTTCGTAATTAAAGAGGTCAACAATGACACCGCCCTTTTTTCAATGCGAAGTCCAATCGTCACGTGCAACTAACAAAACGAACAAACAAAAATAATCCTGTGTACTTGAATGCTTATTCGTTGGCTTCCAGTCGGTCCTCTGGCAAGGTGGCACACATACACTCCTTACATGCATGACTCTTTCGTCGTTAAAGTCCGGGGACAACCTTCGCAGTTGACGTCCTTCATTCGGGATCTTTATGGCCTTGTCTTGGCTATCCCGAAAGAACCCTTAAACACTGCACCTGCAGGATTAGTACACGAATTGTGTCGATGGTCCGGAACAGGCTGTCTTCTGTTTGGGTTTTTGGTTGGTAAATTCAATTTGTATTTTAATAAACATGATCTGCCTTCTTTTGGTGTCGTTATAAGACTGATTTTTATTCTCGCTATGAGTACATATGAAAGCTAATTTTGGAGTGGGGTGCTTATGCTGTGTTTGCGAAATAGCGTAGGTCAGCGTTTTCGGCCGAATGTCTGTGGCCCAGTTGTTTACAAGATTCAGCTTTGGGATTCCTCTGCGTCGACTGTTCGATGTCCGTGTTGAACGGCACCGCCGTTAGTGGGTCAGTGTCCGAGGGGGTTTGGGTGGAGGTGATGTCATCTGCAAGACATTAGCGGTAACTTGCGCTCTGATTTGTTTTGTCCATACTTCTCACTGTTACTGGCCTCCACTTGACTCTGGATCAGTTGCTCCATTAGCTGTGATTAAACTGTAGCCCTCGCTTCACCATTCAGCGTTTTCACTAACCTTTGATTTTTATACCCGTTACTCGTAGGGTAAAAGGGTATACTAGATTCGTTGAAAAGTATGTAACAACCCCTATAAAGTATATATATTCTTAATCATTAGCAAAGTCGATTGAGTCATGTCCGTCTGTCCGTCTGTCCGTCCGTCCGTCCGCCTGACCGTCCGTCGATTTAATGCTGAGATCTTAGGAACTATAGCAGATACAAAGTTGAGATTAAGCATAAAGATTCTTGAGATCCCGGACAGCGCAAGTTTATTTCAGCATCCTGCCACGCCCACTCTAACGCCCACAAATCGCGAAGAACTAAAATCGCTGAAATCTCGGGAACTGTTAGAGCTAGAAAGTGTAGAGCTAGAAATTCAGTATGTATAAACTTTGGATGCCAGCGCATCTTTTAGTGGTACTATTATCTGGCCACACGCATTCGCATTTTCAAGACAACCTGATATCTCGGTAACTAAAAGTGTAGTAGAAAGTTCGGATTAAGCATGTAGATTTTTATGATGCCCCAATTGCAAATTGTTTTTTTTTTCATCTAGCCACGCCCACCCTAACGCCCACAAAACCCGAAAAACCAAAATTGCAAAAATCTCCGAAACTAAAGGAGCTAAAAAGTTAGGCCTAACAATACGTATTTTAGGGTTGCCACTGCCACTTCCAACGAGTTTTTATCCGGCCACGCCCACTCTAACGCTCACAAACCGCGGAACACTGTGGCGTCTATAATAATATTATGAATGCCTTCGTTTGGCCTTGTATAACTTATTTATGTTAATATCTATCGATTTACCAACGATTTTTCAAATCGGAACATTTTTCGCTACTTATGAAGAAATTTAGGTTATAAGGCAGTGACGTCACTATCAGTTACTCGACATGCTTTCTCCGACAATAGGTTGCGCTTGGGTAATTTCCACTAGCAAAATGAATATTTTAAAATTGTGTAAAACAGTAACGGGTATCTTATAGTCGCGGCACTCGACTATAGCGATACTCTCTTGTTTTTCTAGTGCTCAACGCCTATGCTCTAAGAGCTCATTTGCTTTCGAAAATGCATTTAGCGCTTTAGCTTCCAACAGCAATAAAATTTATTTTTGTTTTTTTCTGGAACTTCCCCGAACACTTGCAGTGGGATTCATTCATTAAGGTTAGTGATGAATGTGTTATTGCACAGCTCAAGCCAAAACAAAAATTCAATAAATATGTGAACGCTTCCCTGTATTTTTTTTAGTAAATGCTCTGCCGTAAGGTGATTTTAAGCACCTCTAATGTACACTGATAGACTGGTTCAGTGTACTCTCCAATGGATATTACCTTTTCGAGGTCGGTCTTGGCCCGGTTTTCGCGGAAGAATTTTTTTTTGGTCTCTTTTTCATGTTGGTCTCACACAGGCATTTTTTTGAAGAACTTTGTCAATGTGCCTTACATAGTCGGCAGCATTTTCGAAAAACATTACCAAGTCGTCTACATAGACATAACAAGTTCTTCTTATTTGTTCGCGGAGAACGATACTTTCCTTCGTTCACGGATAAAGCTCTTTGCTCACGGTCTTTTTTGCCAAAATAAATCTGGAAGTACCATGATGGTATAATTCAAGGGTGGTAATAATTGTTGCCTTTTCTAAGCTAGCTAGAATCATAGGAATGCTTGGCATAGGATAACGATCGGATGTCGTTTGCTCATTCAGTTTTCTAAAGTCGATAACCGTCGGCATCAGACCCTTTTTTGTCAACAACCCACGTTTGAATGTTAAATGGCGACCTGAGAGGTCTGATAAAGCCATCCTTAACCATTTGATTTCTGTATTAATGGGGTGTAGCTTTGAATATATGGGTTCGATACCCTCATTACGAATAGTGGCAATAACTGAGGTGATAAACGGAAGCGCCTTGTTAAGGCGCGAAAGAACTTGTTTCCCTCTTAAGGATCATTTTCTTAAATTCCTCGAGATCGGGACTAAAAGGTTATCGATATTTGTGCTGTTCATATTATCGCATTTGTGATTTTTACGTTGTTCAGATACGTTTCGATATCTGATTACGCTGTTACGTTCGCCCCAGGTTGAAACCTACTTTGCCATCAAACGTATTAAGGGCATCAAGTAGCAGTGTTGCCATTTAAGCTTATTATAAGATTGTTCTATTTGAAATTGGAAAAGCTTGTAAGATTTGCATTTCACTTATAGCTTGAAATATAGCTTACTTTTACATTTTATCTAGCATATTCTATCTTTAAATATATTTGCGACATCAACGGAAAAATATGCTTTATGCCATGAAAATGACGAAGCTTGTTCTCTTTTGCCGATGATTTTGTGCGTTTCATATGATCGTGAATTTATTTCAAATCGATAGTGTCATCGAAGATCGATATGTTTGCTGAAGTTTTTCCACCAACCTCTTGGAGCTGTGAAATACTTCTTTTTAATTTCTCAGATACGGATTGAGCAGGCATGGGAAATGTTGACGTAGGTACACCTTGCCAGGAAAATATATAATTCTCATAAAAAAAGGAAAAATATTTAAATGACGATAAAGATGCTATTCATATATATAGTGACATATCTGTAACCTCGTCACCTCCACGTTAAACATAAGTAAGGAATGGATAAATTATATTTGTAAGCTTAATCAAGAGTGGAAATTTCCTATACTTATTTGTAAACTTAATCAAGAGTTGAAATTTCCCATACATATATGTTAAGCCAATCGACAGTGGAAAATTCTAAAGTAAACTTTCCCAGACTTTCAAAATAAACACAGAGAGATCGCAGTGCCCAAATTCTTTCCCATACTGCAGATCGAAAACAAAACAGTCTTATTACCAGACTCTAGCTTAGACTAAACATTCAAAACAAAATGTTCCACAACCGATTAAAGCCAGAGTAGGAGTCGTGCTAAGGACATTTAGAAAGAGCAATCTTGTATTCAAGGGAAATGAACTTGAATACAAGAGAATTAAGCTTAGCTTTGAGAAAGTTCTCTCAGAGAACATAAGAAATGTGAAAGCCCAAAACCAAGGCTTCATTAAAAATTAAAACATAAAATCAAATCAGTTCTTGACAGTTCACAGAATAGTGAAGTTTAGTTTAAAACTCAGAGTTCAGCTTGAGACATACTACTTGTTCGTAATATGTCAGTGAGTTCAACTTAAAATAGTGTGTAAAATAGTGGTATAATAGAGAAATAATGTTTTTTTATTCAGATTCCTTATACGAAATATGTTATTGGCGCAGTCGGTAGGATTTCAATAAAATTCGGTACTGGTCAGAACTGGACTACTAAACAACTAGTATCCTTGACCGGCGAAGTGTACACTTGAGATCCGCAAAAGAATCGTGATCCTTAATCGCAGAACCGTGACAAAACGTAGTCGCTGACCCTAATCCCAGAACCGTGAACCGTAGTCGCAGAAATTCACTAAAATTTTAAAATACAAAAACATTTTAATTCATTTACAAGTGAAAGAAAACCCAACAAAGACATTTACTTAAAATTCTACAAGTAAACAAAATTTTACAAGTGAAATAAATGAAAAAATGCCCAGCAAACCCATTCTAAAATTCTACAAGTGAACAAAAATTCCACAAGTGATATAAATGAAATACCTAGCAAAGACATTCCAAAATTCTATAAGTGAACAAAAATTTCACAAGTGAAAATTTCACAGCAAAGACATTTAACAAAATCTTACAAGTGAATAAAATTTTACAAATAAAATAAATGAAACCCATTCACAATTTTATAAAACTCAACAAAGAAATTCAAAATTAATAAAGTAAATTTTACAAAGAACCAAAACCCATTTTTGTAAAATAAAAAACATTCAAAAGAAAAACTAAAAACTTTGTGAAAAAATAAAAACCAACATAAAATATGACTTCACCACAACTACTATCGGAGATTCATCTGAATCAATTATTAAGTCAACTGAAGGAGCTACAATATTTTGATGGGACTCCAGGTAAACTATTCGAGTGCATCAATCAAGTGGAGTACTTATTGCAACTTTACCCAACACCAGACGCGAGACGAGCCCACATCATATTCGGAGCAATTAGAAGACTAGTAGTGGACTAGCACAGGAAACAGTGGGACAAGCAAGCAACTAGCCATCTATGAAGGGAGCACTATCCACATCATTTAAGGATCACCGCCCCTATGAAACATTTATAAAACATCTTGGAAACACCGAATATCGCGGAAGTACCAGTAAGTTCACAGAAACCAGAGAACGTCAAGGGTGTCTTTTTTCGGCACCCGAATCACACTCATACATTTCGAGTGTGTGTCGCACTCATGAACAGCAAGAAGAGAGCACACACCCGGAGTGCACAGATCGCTTTGTTTCTTTTGAGTGTTTGCGTTTTTGTCACCCACTCAATTCAATGCACATGATTTAAATGCACAGACACCCGACACACTCATAGCAAATGAAGGGAGTGTCTGAGACATCCATGTTTTTGGGAAAAGTGAGTCGGGTGTCTTGAAATGAGTCGAGTGCCGAATCATGTGTGGATTCGAGTGCACTCATTGTCTGGGTGTACCCTTGCCGATCTCTGATAGAAACCTTTACGATAAGTTAGAATTAGAAACTGATCCAATTGACAAAATAAATTATCGCAGAATGCTTGAAAAAACAATTTGTAACACAATTAACAAAAAACTTTCTGATAGGATTTATATGACATTAGCCAGAAAAGACATAACGACTATTCCAAAACTAAAACAAGCTACAATGGAATTAGGATTATACGACCTAGATCCAGAAGAGAAATTTTAACGAAACAAGAATAATTATAGGAATAGAGGAAACAAAAATCAGGGAAATGATCAGAAGTACTACAATCAAAGAAGTTACAATTCATATTATTCTTTGACTTCTCAGAATTCACAAAATCAAAATAGATCAAATCCCACAGATCAACCATTAAATTATCACACTCTTAGGAACAACCTAAGTCTAGGAAAACAACAAAATCCTTTGAACTTCCAACCCTCAACTTCTAACAACACAAAGACTTCTCCAAATGCCCCAGTAAAGATACAGACAGAAAGCCAAAGCGAATAAGACTCGGAAACAGACCAAAACATCCTTATGTAAAATTAAAATTTAAAAATAAAACTTATAAAGGAATGATAGACACAGGCTCATCAATCAATATTATGAATAGTAATTTTGCAAAATTAAAAGGAAAGAAAGAAAACCTAATAGTAAACCATATTAGAGGACAGGTTGAATTAAGCAGTTGAATTAAGTTACAATAAAATCATCTGCAGTATGCCCGTCTGAACAGAAATTTTATTTACATACATTTTCAAACCAGTTGGATATTTTGTTAGGCAGACAATACTTAGAAGCAGCTAAAGCCAAAATGCCTTACTCCGCCCTCCACGGAAGATCACTCAGTCAATTTTGCTATTGATATCGAACTAAAAGAATGTAATGAGTTTAGATTGAAACACTTAAATAGTGAAGAAATCGAAAGTTTAAAAAAGGTCCTATAAGAATATAGTGACATCCAGTACAGAGAAGACGAAAATTTAACCTTTACTAGTACAATAAAACATTCGATCTAAACACAACACGAGGATCCGGTTTATCGCAAGCCATATAAATACCCTCAAAGTGTTAATGAAGAAGTTAACAAACAGATAAAAGAGATGATAGAACAGGGAAAAACTCGTAAGTCGAAATCTCCTTACTGTTCACCCACCTGGGTTGTGCCCAAAAAAGCCGATGCTTCTGGCAAACAAAAATTCCGACTAGTTGTTGATTATCGATATCTAAATGAGATAACGATCAATGACAAGTTCCCCATTCCAAGAATGGAAGAAATATTAGGTAAACTTGGCAGATGTCAATATTTCACAGCAATTGATCTAGCCAAAGGATAAAAATGGATAAAAATTCCATAGCTGAAATAGCATTTTCGACTAAGCATGGTCACCACGAATATACACGTATGCCATTTGGTCTTAATGCACACGCGACATTTCAAAGGTGTATAAATAATATTTTAGAAGATTTTAGATTAATCTATAAAGACTGTTTAGTACATTTAGACGACGTAAAAATTTTTTCCACTTCATTGGAAGAACACATCTTGTCTCTAAAGAAAGTTTTTGAAAAACTGAGGAATGCAAATATAAAGCTACAATTGGGTAAATGTGAATTCCTAAAGAAAGAAACAGAATTCTTAGGACATGTTGTAACAACAAATGCTATTAAACCTAATACTAATAATATAAGTGCCGTAACTAATTTTCCATTACCCAAGACTCCAAAGCAAATAAAGTCATTTTTGGGACTATGCGGTTTCTATCTTTCCTAATCTCGCGAATGTAGTAAAACCAATGACACTTAAAGGAACTTTTAGCAATCGTTTGGGCAACAAAATACTTTGGACCTTATTTATTCGGAAGACCTTTTCAAATACTTAGCGATCATAAACCCCTTGTTTGGCTAAATAACATTAAGGAACCAAATATGAAATTACAACGATGGAAAACTAAATTAAACGAATTTGATTACAAAATCACATACCTTCCTGGAAAAGAGATTTACGTAGCAGACGCATTATCTCGGACTGGAATCGAAGATTCCACTTAGGAAGATAATTCAAACTATATAGCAATTACCGAAAGACCGTTTAATTATTTCTCAAGACAAATTGAATTTCAAAAAGGAGACAAAAATTCAACCGAAGTCAAACATTATTTCCATAAATTATAAATAAAAAGCAATTACAAGGAAATGACTGAAGAATCTGCAAAGGATGTAATCAAGGAATACCTATGTACTAAAATCAGTGCAATTTACATGTACAATCCAGGTAACAACAATAACTAATGGACAAAATATGGAGATAAACCCCATCGAAGCGAATAACGGATATTTTATGTTCAAAACAGGAACAATAACAATCCCGACAGATTTCGAATATGACTTCCTAAGCGTAAATCTAACAAAGACACAAAGAACTTATGAAAACCTATTAAAAGAAGCAAAAACAGTAGTCAGTTTTCGCTGGTTTTGGCACAGATTTATGGGCTATTAACCTGCCACATAAGTGATTAAAACATGGTTTCCCCCACCCCGAAACCCATTATCCGTCGTCTCCTGTTATTAGAATTTCCCCTCACCACCCCTCAAGTCCTATTAGTCAGTATGGATTCTGGCACAGAAATCAGAAAAAAAATAAAATCAGTGCACGTGTTCGAAGAAGTAATAAAATGTGACGATTGTGTCATGATTAGTTTTCGAACCCCCTATTCGTTGTTTGAGAATATTGAAATGTATTCCTGACCCTAACTAGCAAGATGGGGAACGTCTTGATGGGTTAAATTAAGTAAGCCTCTGTCTACGTGTGTGCCTGTGTATGGTTGAGTGGGAACTCCACTCGGATACTTATAACGATATGAAGAACCGATATACGTTCATGGACGCACCATAATAAAATTGTCAAGTGGATAGTCAAGTATAAGTCAATGTCTTAAGTTGTTTATTCAAATTTCAGATTTTTTAGATTTCAGTACTTCAAAACAAAGGGACACAGACTAAAAAATTTGCATTCGAGTCGTTGTTTCTTAACGCTTGCATTTCTCACAGTAATAAAAATGTCAATTCATGTGCCTACATTTATTGGGTAAACATGTACCAACTCAATTAACTGAAGGAGAAAAGGGATACAAAGTGCTTGGGATATCTGACTTTCAATACAGTTGAAAAATTGAATTGGATTGTTGTCGGGTCTAGGAGTATAACATATCTGTATGCCCTTTCATTAAAAAAATGAGAGCAGTTTAATTCAGCATCAGTTCGTCAGGAGCACCAAAATCACCATGAGCGTTATGTCCGTGAATTTTGTCGATTCGTTTCAGGCTTTGGAATTGTTGACGGATATCGAAATCGGTGACCAAGACTCCGATGTGGTGGTCATCGAAGACTCGGAGCCAATCTATATAACGGCTCTCGACGAAGAAGAAGAAGAATAGACAGGAATCTGATGGAAGTATTCGCCACCTATTCATCATCAACGCAAACGTTTCCACAGGAGTTGGAATCACTCAAATGGGAAGATTTTCCATTTGGAGATGAAACGATGAATGTACTTGGAAATGAGTTTTTGAATGAGCACTTTCAATGTGCTCAAAGAATTGATTTGGATGATCCGGAAAAAATTGATTTCCCAGACGACGACTCCCGTTTTGATGATATAAAAGTGAATTACAATCAGTATCGAAAATTACTGAACGATGAAGACGATGAGTTTTTAATTAATATTGCCAATAGGTTAGATATTTAAATAAAACAAATAAAATAAAATAAAAATATTTAAAATTCAAATTTACAAAAATATTTATTTTTCACGCCCATATTAACTTAAATAAATAAAACAAATATTTACTTTAACAACAAATGTGTTTATTTTATTATTTCTTCATTTCATTGATTTTGTTTTCATTATATAATGAAATCATTATTTAATTATCTGAAACAAAGTTATACAGTCTGAAATATTTTGTTTGTATTTTTAATTTTTCTGCTCATTTTTTTTCTAGATTATAATATATTGATTAATTCGGACCTGTACTGCCAACAAATGGACCGCTTTAAGGCAGCACTCATGCAGAAGAGGCCATCTTTGATCAACAGAGGCCGAATTGTCTTGCAGACAACGCCAGCCCACACACATCTTTAGTGACCCGCCAGAAGCTCCGGGAGCTCGGATGGAAGGTTCTTTTGCATCCACCGTATAATCCGGATCTCGCACCAAATGATTACCACCTGTTTCTGTCCATGGAGAACGCGCTTGGTAGTCTGAAGTTGGCCACAAGAGAGTCCTGTGAAAATTTCCCAATAGGGAAGCGAGCTTCTATGAGAGGGGCATTATGAAGTTGGCATCTCATTGGGAACGCGTCATCGTACAAAACGGCGTATATTTGACTTGAATCGCATTATTGTAACCAATTTTATAAACAATTGAAAATTCAATAAAAATACCGCAAGACTTTTTTGATAACCTAATTTATTCATAATGTTTCCTGCCGCCCTTTCGTACTCAAAATTTTTATGTCATCCACAAGTGTCGATTCCTTCCGTATCTGAATCCTTACTCCAGATACATGTTTTTCGGTGTACACCATGGATAGAAGTTATCATTTCAACTTCTTCACACTCAAGTAGATTTGTATTTTTAAAGAGAAGTCGCAGATAGTGAGAATTTAGTAGAACTCCATTAAACTTTTTGAGAAACAATTTAATTTGATTCGAATACATAATGTACATCCCAGATTTTAAGTTAAAAAAAATGATGCTCTTTACCACCTGCTTACCGAATTTATTCTAAAACAAATTTTAACGTTTTACACAATTTTAAAATATTCATTTTGCTGATTAAAATTCCCCAAGCTCTACGTATTGTCGGAGAAAGAATATTGAGTAACTGATAGTGACGTTACTGCCCATGTGAGGCCTTATACTCTAAATTTATTAACAGAAATAAGTTATACAAGGTCAAACGAAGGCATTGGGGTGGGCGTGGCTAGATGGGAAAAAATTAATTTGCATTTGGAGCATCATAAAAATGAACATGCTGAACTTACTGTCACTTATAGTTACCGAGATATCAGCATTTCTAGAAATTGCGAAAACCGTCTTTTGATCCTTGTGGGCGTATGGGTGGGTGTGGCCTAAAAGATGATGTGGGTTTATAAGATGCGCTGGTATCTAAAGATTATACATTCTGAATTTGAACTCTCTAGCTCTAATAGTTCCTGAGATTTCAGCGATTTTAGTTTTTCGCGATTTGTGGGCGTTAGAGTGGGCGTTAGAGTGGGCGTGGCATAATGCTGTAATAAACTTGCACTGCGTAGGTACTTCAAGAATCTTCATGATTAATCTGAACTTTGTATCTCTTATAGTTCCTGATATCTCAGCGTTCATACGGATAGACAGACGGTCATGGCTCAATCGTCTTCGCTTTTCATCCTGATCAAGAATATATGTACTTTCTAGGGTCTGAAACTCTTCGTTCTACCTGTTACATACTTTTCAACGAATCTTAAATACCCTTTACTCTACGAGTAACGGGTATAAAAATATCTAGTTTTCTTCATATTTTCTACCCTGACTTGTAGATATCTTAAATCCTGTAAATGAAAAGTCATTACTTTCAATTTATGCCAAGTCTATTTTTAAATTCGGCTTTTATTGGTTACTTTTTCTCAAACCATATTTTTCTTGAAGAAAAACTATTTCTGCTCTCTTCTAACTACAGGTCATCTTTTTTAAACTCACACCCTATTGTTTTCCTTTTTCTTGAACAATCGGTATCTTGAATCTTCTGATCTATTCTAACCAATGGACTTTATTTTTAAGACTGAGATTCTATTTGGTTTCGAACCATGTCAAACCATGTTGTAACTCCCAAACTTCTAAAATTTGTGAACGCCCACTTTAAAAAATCGCAGAATTTAATTAGTTCTTTCCAAGCCATTCTCTTTGCAACATTGTTGTTAGCTTGAAAACTTGACAAGAAACAATCAAGTAAAAGTGTAGTGAAGTGTGTTCGTGCAGATAACGAACGCCGGTAAAGCAAATTACGTTTCAAAGTTAAAGGGGACTGCCAAATTAAAGAAACCTTCTGGACGCCTTGATATTCCAATTGCAAGTGCTCACTCCAAATTTATTCAGGCTCTTCTAGAGCTATTAGTTGAGTTTTTAGATATAATAGTCTATAGTAATAGAGAGCTTTCGCTATCTGTCTCTCCCGCGAGGGCGCAGCTTGAGCTTCAAGAGATCTTAGGTACTAATTTACATTGATAAACAAATGTAACCATCCTCCGAATCGACCAAACATTGGCCGCGTTGACAGCATCAGCATATGCTTCAACTAATAGGAATAGGTGCAAGGGGGTGAATAGATCGTTTATATAGGCCCGATTTTGTTTTGACTACAGCCACTCGAACCTTTCCATCATGTCCTGGAACGACCTCTACGACTACGCCCATTATTCATAGTTAAGGGGGAATGTTCTCGTCGTGAATTGCCACCACCGTCCCGATATTTGGTCCATTTCTCTCGCTGCTGTAGTCTTAGAAGATATTCCCTCGACCAATCGCTCCAAAATCGCTGTTTGATTGCTGAGACTAATTTCCATCTCTGCAAGTACTTGAGGTTGCCGTCTGCCTTTGGCTGGACGGATGCGGGCGGCAGCGTTGCTAGCGCTGTGCCTACTAGCAGATGCGCTGGCGTGACAACCTCTCCCTCGTTGGGACTGCGATTGTCCACGATGAGCGGCCTTGAATTCAGGATGGCCTCTACCTCCACTATGACGGTATGAAGCTCGTCCTCCTTCAGAGTAGCGTTGCCCATAGCCTTGAGAAGAAGATGATTGGCCGACTTTAAGGCCGCTTCCCAAAGGCCGCCTATATGTGGCGCTATGGGAGGGATGAGTTCGATGGTGAATCGGTGGGCCGCAGCACACGCCATGACGCTCTGGTCATTGGTGTCGACAGGTTCCAAGAGCTCCTTCAGGACTCGCGCAGCTCCCAAAAAATTGGTGGCGTTGTCGCAATACATCTTGACAACATGACCACGACGACCCACAAACCTGGATAAGCGTAAAAGAAATTATTAGACGTCAAATCTTTCACGATCTCCAAATATACAGCCTTTGATGCAAAACAGACAAACACTGCTATGTACGATACATCTTTACTGGCTGCTTTCCACGAATTCCAAGTGAGACTTTAACAGGCCCAAAGAGACCGACTCCGCTGATTTCAAAGGGTCTATTTCCCTGCAATCGATCCTTTGGTAAATTACCCATTATCTGTGATAGAAGTTTCGGTTTATAGTGAAAACAATGTATGCACTGCCGTACAATGGCACTGCACTCGCGACGCTCATTTATTAGCCATATCACTTGCCTGAGAAGCCCGACCAACGACCGTGGGCCCGCATGACAATTAGTTCTATATAAGTTCCTCAAATATTGGGTCACAAATTTTGCAATTTTTTGCATTAACAATGGGAATTTCGCGTTGTGAGCAATGGGGGCATGTAAAAGACGGCCACCGACGAGCAATAAGGAATATGAAGAAGTATCATAGTTTTCAACAGATAAAAAGGGTTTAGCCCGCAAATTAGCTGATTTCTGCAGTCTTACAATTTCTTCCGCAAATTCTGTTTTTTGGACGGCTTCAACTACTTTCAGAAATGCCGTTCCGAGCTCATCAGCTGACGGACAACGGGAATTCCACGTTATCTTCTTCCTTCGGTTAATAAATCGATACATATAAGCCACAATGCGAACTACTTTCAGATACGACGATGACCTTTCTACAACATTTAAAATTGGGCTTAGCTCAACATCGGCCGCGATGAGAGCAACGCGTAATTTTTTGGTTTGAATGATGAAGATGTGAATTTCTTGGCCAGTACTCGTCTTCCTTTTGTAAAAAACTGGACCGCCGTACCAAAATGCGGCATTTAACACTTTAACAGAGCATCCTCGCGAAACTAAATCTGCAGGGTTTTACTTGGCTGGCACATGCCGCCAAACAGCTGATAAAACAATGTCTTGAATATCTGAAACTCGATTAGAGACAAATGTAGCAATCTGAGATGGATGAGTTTGTATCCAGTGAAGAACCACTTCCGAATCGGACCAAAGGACAACACTCTCGACCGGAAAGTTAAAGATGCTGCGAACTTCTTCCCAAAGCTTTGCCAACAAGTGCGCTGCACACAGCTCTAGTCTTGTCACCGTCTTTGTTTTAAAAGGAGCCACCCTAGATTTTGCTGTTAGCAACTGTACAGACACCCCACTTGGATCCACCACTCTAACATACAGGCAATACCCATAGGCTCGTGTAGACGCATCAGCAAACCCATGAATTTGACATACTGCTTGGTTGCTTGTTCCCACGAATCTTGGAATAACCACTTTTTCCAAGAGTGCATAATCGTTTTTTTACTAAATTCCACTTTTTCTCAAAGTCTTGGGGCACAGGATCATCCCAATTCAGACTCAAAAGCCAGAAAGAGTGGCGATGGAAGACAAAATTGACCTTTTACTCACTACCTGATCTGGGAAAACTTTCCTTACGCCGTATTTGAAGACATCCGTCTTTGGATTCCAGATTAATCCAAGAGTTTTAAGATCTTGAAGATCTCCGGGAAAAATGTCCCCATTCGAGTTATTGCACGTGCTTGTATTACAATTTGAAGCCCATTTTCTCAAAGCAAAGCCCGCTGGTTCTAGGATTTCAATAAGCTCGCGACGAAGAACCATCAGCTCCTCCTCTGTGTCTGCTCCAGTGAGCAGATCGTCGACGTAGAAGTCTGAGCAAAGCGCTCTTGCACCCTGAGAATGCGATTGCGAATGGGTCGCTAAGATACTTTAAGCATCAAACTGCTATAAACGGAGCGGTTGCTGTTCCATACTTAACAGTATTTAGCCGATAAGTTTTTAAAGGGCTGGCCGCATCTCTTCTCCACATGAAACGTTCGCTGCGGCTTGACATTCTAGTTATGTCTGCAACCAGTGCGTATTTGCGACAGCGAAATCTTAGGAGAGTGGAACACAAACATGGCTGTATTGTTGGTCCTACCATAAGAAGGTCATTTAGCGACACTTGGGAAGTAGACTTACAAGATGCATCAAATACCACTCTGAGCTTAGTGGACGTGCTTTGTGGACGCTCTAAACATTGGTAGGGTATAAAACAATGCGGATCTTTCG